ATCAAATATATTATGATATAATTTTTTTTCTTTCTTAAAAAAAAAATCATATTTAAGTAAAACATTGTAAATTATGTGAGGTAAAAAAAAGGTAATAAAAACGGTAAAGAATGGGTAAAAAAGTTATAATTTGAACACGAACCCTAGAAAAACTTACTTCTTCCACTTCCGGTTCTAATCTTTCTTTTGGATCGATTTGATCCACCAATTGTTGAATTTTACGTTTTGATAAAAGTTGTTTATCACCATCATCGGATTCAGGTAATGACAAAGATACTGGAGTTTCTGGTAAATTTGTATTAACATTTTGAATTAAATGAGGCATTAAAGTAGTTCTTACTCCCGGTGTCTTATTTAAATTAATTAAATTAAGACGAGGGGAAGGAAGTCCACTTGGATTAGTAGTAATAGGAGGTTGGGTTTGAGGTGGTTGTGATGGTGGTTGTGAACGAGGAGATAATGGTGGTAAAGATTGTAATTGATGTGACAAAGGAGATTGAGGTGGTTGTTGTTGTGAACGAGGAGATGATGGTGGTGGTAAAGATTGTATTTGATGTGACAAGGGAGATTGAGAATTTGGGGATTGAGGATGATGTTGTTGTTGTAATTGAATTGTTTGTGGATGTAACATTTGTTGTTGATGTTGTTGATGTTGTTGATGTTGTTGTTGTTGTTGTTGTTGTTGAATAGTAGGAGATGTTATCATAGAACCATCTTGCATATGACTTGAAGGACCTAAATAACCTCGAGGTGAATTATAAGGTGATTGAGGTGACATGTGTTGTGGTGGTGGTTGTTGTTGAATAGTTCCAGTATTTGAATTAGTAGAATTAAATTTTGAAGATAATTGATTTAATATATTCGCTCTATTCACTAAATCTGCTTTCATTGTAGGTACTAAATTGTCTTGTTGTAATAAATTTGTAACTCGATATAATTCATTTCTTAATTGTTGAATGGTTTGTATATTATTATATTCTTGTGGCATTACAATTCTCACTTGTTGTTGTTGTTGCTGATGATGTTGTTGTTGTTGTTGTTGTTGTTGTTGTTGGTTGGTTTGTGGTTGTTGTACTGAATGATGATGGGTTTGTGATGTTGACGTTGGTGGTGGCGGTGGCTGAGATGTTAAAGATGATGATGTTGTTGTTGATAATGATCATGATGATGATGTTGTTGTTGTTGTTGGACCTGTTGATATTGTAGAAGAAATAATTCGAGGAATTTGGTGAGGTGAAGGTGTAGATGCAGGTGAAGAAATCTGTTTGTTCACTGCCGGAGTAAACGTAATATTACCGAGTTGATTATTTCGTTTATGTTGTTCTAAAGCCTGCATCGTATCTACATACTTTTTATAAGCTGCTTGACCTTCGGGAGTATTTTGTCCAAATTGTTGAACTTGTTTAGAATAGTCGTTAGCTATTTTACTTAAAGACTGAGCTAACATCGTATCATCATTTTTTTCGGTCGTTATAGGTTTAGGTCGAGTTCCTGTACCTGCTTTTTTACCCCCTCCACTCATTCTTTTCTTTGCTCCCCCTCTTACAGTTACTGAAGTTGGTCTAATTCCTATAGAAACAGGTGTTTGAATTGATTGAACAGAACTTGATTGTATTTGTGAATTACTACCACTACTACTACTACTAGTGATCTGTGGCAAATTTGCAGGTGGTGATAAATTTTGCTGATTCTTTTGTTGCGACATTATTAACAACCTAAGATTTACTAAATTTGAAAGATCTAACTTTGACTCGTTTAAAATGTTTACTTTTTTTTTTTTTTTTTTTCTTGCGAGTTTAAAATCGAGAGTTAAAAAAGATTGGTGTTGCGAGTTATTTTGTTTACCTTGCATTATTTAATATCACGTGCTACCGATTATATTTCTAGGTATTTATTGATACAACTTCCACATTAAACACATTAAACACATCAAATTTACACTTTACGTATATGATTATTATTATTACTATATATAAATATATATAAAAAAATAATTGATGCCGCCTATTTAATTATTCATGATAAGATGATTCGGGTAAAAAAATGAAAAAATGAAAAATGACAACTTTTTAAAACTAACTATCAATTGAAGATATATTTTTATTATATATATATATATATATATATATATTTTAAGTTATTATTATTATTATAATTAAATTAAATATTTACAAACAATAAAGTGTTTATGTAATATAATAAAATATATAAATATGTCATTTTTTCTAAAGAACCCCTTTTATCCTTTTATATATAATAAAAAATAATAATTATATAAAAATAATAATAATTATAATA